CGATGACTTCTGCTATTACAGGAGGCGGCGGCGCGGCGAAGATGCTATGAGCAACGCTGGGAGGGAGAGGAGATCGGGCCCCTGGACCACGTCGCGCCGGGTCACTACCTTCGCCAGCCTCGGTTCTCTCCTTCTGCTACTACGTATTACATTGATTCTATTCTATGTAGCCCGTATACCAGGTAAATATTTATGCGGTACTGCGGTTGTTCCCAAACACAAACTGGTAGCAGCGATTCGATGCCGCCGGAGGATGTCAGTCTTTTTATTTATTCTTCATTTTTTTTACCTCCATAATCTTTGGAGTGGTCCTTTTGTAGTAAAGGTTATCGGACGACTCCAGTCTACGGGATCGCCGGACCTTGTCGGCATCGGCGGCACAACCGAGGAGTGTCGAATTGCCCAAAACCACAATTCCCTCGCCACCGAACGAGCCGTCATAATGATGTTCCGGGTCCACTTTCCCTCCATCCTACGTATCACGGTATCCTCACTGCTTAACACGACAAAACCGGGAGGACTTTTTCACAACACGCTTTCCGACTGCCGCATCATCATAGGGATGAAGCGTCACAAATCCCCGAGTCCGCCTTCGTAGCATTAATCGCCCACCTCCCGCAGGCACGGCAGATCCATATCGGAGACGTTTATCAATTGGAACCGCATATCTAGCTCGACTGCCCGACTTGGAAGTAAGGGGCTCATGGAGATTCCACTTCAAAAAGACGTACTGTTGGCCCCATTGGTTACCACTTTCAAGCGCACCCAGCGCTAAATGAACTACCGAACATGTTGGTGTACGGAGGGCTGCTCATAAGTGGAAACCCAGCTTTGCAGCGAACGCTTCTCGTCAACCGCCTCCCTTTGCCGAACCCTATGCTCCCTCGGGTAGCCATCAACGAAGAAAATCGTAACGGCTCTCCTACACCCATTCTCATTGAAACCAGGAAGAAGCGGACTGCTACGTCAAACTGGCTGAATCACTAATCGACAGAAATATCTCACTCATCTCCATCAGTACCACAACTTTTTATAGGGACCAACAGCGACTTTTGGAATAGCCAGCAGAGCGCACGGCAATTCGTCTCTATACCGTAGACTCCGTGCAAGGTCACGAGATGGACGTTGTGGTCCTCCTCACGACCCGCACCCGCCTGGAGCAGGCTTTCGGCGAATTCCTTGACACATCAAACGCATGAACGTCGCTCTCACGAGGTGCCGGCATGGAGTGTTCATCCTAGGGCACGTAACAGCATTCCGTTCGCTCTCGAACTGGACACGTTTGCTCCGCTGGGCCGCCGTGCGGAACGTCATAATTAGCCATTCGTCACTCCCGGATTTATTTCTCTAACCTGGTGAGTAGTGGACTCCATGGCACCGTGACGTAAACCTTCCTTCCTCTCCTTCATACCTTTCAGGCTTATAGAAAGCGTAGCCTCTAACTTTACTTTTTCAGGCCGACCACTTCAATTGCACGCTATATCACCGCTCTACTATTCACTTCTCCTGCAGTCCTTCAACCTTTTTCACTACAGCCAGGTCAGTCTCTGGCTTCGACGCCGGCCTGAACACTTCACGCAACCGGACACCTCAATGTCCGGGAACGAACGTTTTGTGAAAGGGTGGAGCTGTAAGAGCTCAGAGAGCTCAGTAGGGTAACAGATGAACAGTATCAAAAATTAAGTAGTTGTAGATAGGCTTGGCGACTCAGTTGTTGCTTCGATGACTTTTGCTGATTGCAGGAGGCAGCGGCTACAAAAGTTGCTACGAGGAACGCTGGGAGAGAAAGGAGATCGGACCCCTGGACCCCGTCGCGCCGAACCACGACCTTCGCCAGCCTTGGCCCTCACCTTCCACTACTACGTATTACATTGAGTCTATTCTATGTAGCCCGTACAACGGATAAATCTTTATGCGGTATTGTGGTTGTTCCCAAACACAAACTCATCTCATCAACCCCTTCCTTGACAATGTTGCTCCTCAGTTCACCTTCACGGAAGCAGTAGTGATGGTGGCTGCGGTAGACCTTCCTCATTCATTACCTTCATTGTGGAAAAATTAGTGCTGCTTCATGCCCTTGTATTTTGATGTCATGTGAGGTCATTGAGTCATTGAGCGCCTAATGATCAGTACATCTTCTTGCTTAACGAATCACGCCAACGGTTCAATAGCGTAAGGGTAGTATGCCACTGAAATGCTTCAAAGGTTGATAACTATTTCCATTTCAAAAGGTTAGCCAGGTGATGGACCATTGAAATCACAAGACGAAGTAAATCGTCTCGTGAATGTGGGACACAGTTTACGAACCCGCTGGAGCGCCTCTAAACTCCCAGCTCATATACGGCGCAAAGGAAAGGTACCCCGGTGAAGCTCACGAGACACATGGCTAGAGAAAGCTGTGGTAATTCGGTGGGAGGTGTAACATTAAATTGCAAGCCTTTAGCATACATTTTATAAAATTTTCACTTTATTATTTCCAGAATCGTTTCGCTGATTGGGAATGTAGATTTGACATCAGCGTTCAAAAACACATATGCATAGAAAGGCATATGGCATATAAGAGAAAACACTTACGTATGCATAGAGAGGCATTAGAGGCGCTTTGGTTTTGCAACGAAATCCTATGATGAAAAACAGAGATGAGTGTCCGTCCATAACTAGTGACCTCTTACCTGAAGTCTCATTCGCTACTGACAGTCGTCTGTGGCGATAGCGGATTCTATCCGTTTTGGCGTGGAGCCCAGTGAGTATTTCATGATGTGGGTAGTTTTCCGATGTGTTTCGGTCGTTTTTTGCTAAAGGGTCAAAAGCTATCCTATAACGTGAACTATCTCGGATTACGTTTCGGCCTCTGAAGAAGACGATTACGTCGAAATTCTAGGCCGTCGACTTGATAGAGTGTTCTACCTAAAAACCTCGATTGGCAGAAGATTTTTACCAAAGTAAACGAAAGTGCCGAGGATATAACAAGAGAGGTTGGTTACACATCTTGAAAGGCCTCTGCGATCCAGTGCCGTCCCCTTGTTAATTACATCCTTTAATCGACGACAGCTGTTCGACCTATTCATCGAGCCACATTTATTCTGCTAAATCAAGACTGCAAAAGACTGAAAGAACAAGAAACTGAAGGCTCTTTTAATGTTATACTTTCTAGGATGCTCGGCTCGAGATCTTCTCAACGCCGATTTCTGTTAGATAATTTAAGTATAAATTGAATCACTCTTAAAAAGCTTAATGTGGATAATGATTCGACAAGCAGAGAAAACTAAGCATAACTGGTAACACATAAGCGGTAACGGAACAACTGAGGTAAAGGCACTTCAGATCTAGCAAATGAGAAAAACATTTCTGCTATTCGGTACACGCAGCAGGCTGGTATTGAAAGGAAATTTGAGTAGCCGACAAGTTGATCATTTGCTTCCAAGTCGACTCTTTCTGGTGGATATTCTACTAATGTATGCTCCAGCCCGAAAGAATTGGCTCGATTAGGTAATTCTTCAGATGGAATGGAGAGTTTTACCACCATATTTGTTTGCCACGATCTTTTCCCCTATTTGTACGTTTTTACAGCAATTTCCCTTTCCATCATCGAAAGATGCCCTCGACTAGCCCGCATTCGCAACTCCTACATCAAAAATGGGTCCATCACCACTATTTGACTATACAACCAGATAAACGTATGGCGAGGTCACATACTATTAAAGCAGAAGAACCAGAAAGGAAACGACTGATCAAACCACTAAAAGAAATGTTTTTATTTTTATGATGTCGTGTCCACGAGTGCTGATAGATTTACAAGAGTATTATCCCCGGACAAGAGATATGAGGTGAAAAAATCACAGGGTCAGCTATTTGCTATACCACATATCAATTTGATCCATAAACCATGGCCGATTTCCTTCACGAGCTGTCAGTACATCACAACCGTTCTCGGTCACCAGAAGTGTATGCTCAAATTGAGCGGATCGCTTGCCGTCGGTCTATAAGCCGTAATCTCTTAATGATGCCTATGATAAATCTCAAACGACCTACCGTAACAGCGGTCCAGTCATCTGGCCAACGATCGTCGTGATAACTGCCAGCATTTATCATTGGTTCAATTGTAAACGAATTACCCGCTTTCATCACACCCGTCGCAGTGTTCTCTGAATCACTTTAGAAAATTTATCGTATAGAAGAGCCTTTGTAGAGCATAAGCATGCGCTGAAGCTTTTGATGATAGAATTCAGCTAATAAGCATGAAAATTCCCACCGAAACGATATTTAGTAATGTAAGAAGTGTTATCTGACTTTAAGCTGTTTACTGCAGAGACCGTTCAATAAAAATGATAAATGTGGAAGTAGGTTCAAAGGCACAGTTTACAATAAAATTGGGCACTATTTACCCTTTACTGCCCACTTTGTCTAGATTAGGCTAGATTTCTACCGGATTTTTTTCAAGAATATGAAACCGACTAGAAACCTGCCTAGAGGGGTAATTTGACCCGTAGAACACGAATATCGCACTCATTTGCCATGAAAATGCCAAACGCCCCGCTTAGAGACAAGTTTTCAGCAAGATTGGTGACCCAACTCCATTTGGCGCCGACGCCTGTGGCGCCAGCGCTAGGCATCTTTATGACGAGTGAATGCGATATTCGTGTTGTACATGTCAAATTACCCCTCTAGGTAGGTTTCTAGTCGGTTTCATCTTCTTGAAAAAAATTCGATAGAAATCCAGCCCATTCTCGACAAAGTGGGGCAGTAAAGGGTAAATAGTGCCTAAAATTGTTTTCGAGATTTGCCGCTGGAATGAATCTGTGGTCCCAAGAATAGTACAAGGGCCGTTGTCGAGTCGAAAAACGGCCTAGATCAGGCGTGGAAAAGGATCCAAAACCGGTTTGGTCGACGTAGACACTCAAAGTGCCCGTATTATACCGGCCTCTCTATTACTACTTAAACCACATGATGAGAAGATTAGTACGCTTGAATGAGCAAACAGACGTCCATCTTGTACAACCCCTTTCTTGCTACTCTTTTGAGGCTTTATACTTTTTTAAGTCCAACAATTTCGCTTTCTTCACTGCCCTTGCACTATTCCGCACCACGGCTTACCCAAGATGGATACCCAAAAATTATGATGAACTGACCTTTAAGCCTTCACGAGAAATACAATGCAATGTGTGATATCTAATCCAAATCTTCCACCTCGATACCAGTGCCCTAGTCAATCACAACCGGTTTTAATGGACAGTAAACTGTTTTCAAGACAGAACTAGAAATTCACTTTGTTAATAGCGGAGTCTACAACAGCATGGAACGAAATCTGACCAGGAAACGGTTTTTCGATTCCAGCCAAATTTTCGTCCTGCTATCTTGAAGGCATTGTTCAAGATGGGAATCGTTCTCGAGATGTCGTATGACAATTCTGTGACCCTTTGAAATGCCACATGAGGCGTTGTCGAGTCAAAAACCACCTAGATAAGGGCTTAAAACCAGTGATGCCAGTAGCAGCGCCCAGAAATGGACGTGTTGAAGGCCTTGCAGAGGCTGCACTTTCTGTACACGCGCACTTTCGTAATGGGGGCCATTTGTTGAAAATGCAACGAAATACGTGGTGGCTCTTGGAACAAAATAGTAAAGAGAAGCAAAGAATAACTGTATAAAGGTCACAGCAGCACAAAATCATCAAGCGGCTATTCCTGCTTCGGTATCACTCTTCTGAGGAACGCTAGGAGCACAAAACGTTCCACAACGCCTGATCCATCTGATTAAAGACCTGCACGACAGGTCCGAAAAGTCCTAATAGCCTACAGAAGCAATAGATCCTACAGCTGAGGCACATCAATGACCAGTCCTCTACCCTTTTCTATTCATCTCCCACTATCACTGGAAATCATCCCAAACGGTCTCGTGCTTGGACCACTCAAGATCATCCTTCACACTGATGGCATCGATCTTATAGCGTAGAGTAGGAACGAATGCCAGAACAAGCTGCGGAAATTGCGGAACGTTCTGGCGGAAAATGGGCTCCGGTCAAACGTGAAGAAGACCAAATTCCTCAGCTCCGAATCGCACGCGGAGCCAAACGTAATTATCTCCAGATGCCATCGAAAGGGTTCAAGGCTTTTCAAATCTAGGGAGTGACATGGCCGCCGACAGAAGCTCGTATAACCATGGCAAGGATGGAATGAAAGACCCAGAAATATCCTCCGCGGTCAGCTTTGCTCAAGGAGACTCAAAGGGAACTTATACAAAACCCGTGATACTGGTGTGTAGCCAAAAATCATTAGAGGGAATTTTGTCACCAGAAATAAGGGTGCTGAATTGGGCTTACGTTTGATTGCAGTCCTACCACCTTCGTGTACAATCGAACGGTTTTCACAAGCAAAATGGTTCACACCGCAACATTTATTAATAAAATCAATGAAGGTAGTCTAGGAAGCAACTCCTAGAGCTTCTTACTAGAAGTCTCATCTTCCCCTATGATGAACTTTCAAGCTAAGCTTTTTCCTTAATTAAACTTCCGCACTAAGCCTCTCACACAAGAACCGTTAGAGTGAATGTTATGAAAGAAACATCAAAAACTAATAGCCGAGAAACTAATAGTGAATACTGCTGAGGTAAAGACTTAACGTTCTCATTCCTACCCATGATTCCCAACCACGACATCGAGTTCCATGCGAGAAGTTCCATGTACGACACTGAGGAAAGTGTTAGCTACATACTCTACACTAACTCATTTGAGCATATTTGATTTAAATGAATTAAATATATGAGAGACATACTTGCGTAATGGGGCACGTTCGGAACAGTGTGAAACAATCTGAAATAAGAAAAATTGAATGACAAACAGATCAATGTAGCAGGAGTCAGAATACTGTATTCATGATGTTAAATTGGGCTCAATTACTCGGTCACCCGGAATCAATCGGAGCCGGCGATTGATGTTGCTCCGACGATTTTTTAGCGTATCAAACGTCTGTTTTGTCGCACTTTCTCGCAAATTGACTGATCTTTCGAAGTTCATTGAAAGCTTTCGCTCAAGACGACCAAACTTTTCACAAGATTTACCTTTTCTAGTTTTGGGATATCTTATACTTTCACTTTGCCTTTCATTTTTATTCCTTGTTTTTTAGAAGATAATATGAGGAGGGCGGAGGTGGCGCAGTGGCAAGTGGCGCACTATATCACACGCACGGTCAAGGGTTCGAATCCCGGGTCGATGCCCGCCTAGACCAATCAAGCCTTCCATCCCCACGGGGTCGGTTGATTGGTACCGGACTTGTCTGGGAGGATAAAAGCACTGACTTGTACATCGGCTGGCCACCGCAAGTCATTGTAACGGCCACATGCCACTACGTTTCTGTATGGAAGTCGAGTGCGGGGGCGCATCCCTCAGACGGAATTGGTTAAGGCCAAAAACTTTATCCTTTATCCTTAATATGAGGAAAATATATTATACTGAAGTAGCTCTGCCCAAATCAGCAATCTGAAAAACGACGTGCTTCGATGCGAGATCATATGCGACAGCGCGGACGCTAAAGCGATTAAAAAGCGACAATGAACGGTCTCATCACGTTTTATGGAAAAACGTTCGTTCCGCGCGTCCGTCAAAGCTAGGTCACCCCCCCCCCCCCCCCCCCCCCCCCCCCCCCCCCCCCACC